TCCCGATTGCGCGGGATGCTCGTTAAAATGAAGCATTCTTAAATATATGAAACATTTTCTGAGAAAAACTCCTGTGAATCTAAAACACTTCGAAACCGCACTATGAAACCGTTTTGTTTTGTTTATTAAAGCAGTTAATGTTACAACGATTCAATTTTATTAGATATGTTCTTTTTTCTGACATTTCTAAAATTTTTATTAGCAAATTATATTATTTTTTAGTTAGAAATCCAATTCTTTCAACAACTACTGTACTATTTTATTTTTTTATTGCTTAGATGGGTGGACGAGCTCACAGCCCACCTGGTGTTACGTGGTGACTGGAGCCCATATATATCTACAACGTAAATGCGCCACCCACCTTGAGATATAAATTCTAAGGTCTCAGCAGTAGTTACAAAGGCTGCACCACCCTTCAAACCGAAACGCATTACTGCTTCACGGCAAAAATAAGCGGGGTGGTGGTGGTAGCTACCCGCGCGGACTCACAAGAGGTCCTCTTTTTTTTTTTTTTTCTATTGCTTGGACGAGCTGACAGCCCACCTGGTTTAAAATGGTTACTGGAGCCCATAGACATCTACATCGTAAATGCGCAACCCATCTTGAGATATAAGTTCTAAGATCTCAGTATAGTTACAACGGCTGCCCCACCCTTCAAACCTAAACGCATTACTGCTTCACGGCAGAAACAGGCAGGGTGGTGGCAACCTACCCGCGCGGACTCACAAGAGGTCCTACCACCAGTAACAATTAATAATATTACTAACTAATATTACTTAATAACTAACTATTTCAATCGAAAAACATGACCGTTATGATTTTGCATAGAAATCGAGAGAGCAGTGATGCTTACCAGTGCGTGCTTATTGTTCCGTTTCTACATTAACAGTTATCTTAGTTTAACAGATCCAGTATGTTATTGTCAAGCGGAGCGGCGTAGTGAAGCGATTAATCAGAGTGTGCGTGTGTCCGGGCGGGCAGCGGGCATGGTAATTAGATTTAAGAACAACTGGGCGGCGTCACCGGGAGAATGGCCTGCATTAATTTGAGCTTCTCTAACGAGGGCGACGGACCGACTGGGTAGAACTTTGAACAGAAAAATATGTAGAGTCGTTCAAAGTTACATTGTTTTTAAACGTATCCAGGAATTAGGGTATTTTGATATTGCCGCCTACGAGCAACGGTTAATGTTAAGATCTCAATTAGTACACTTTTTGGTGGTAAGACCTCTTGTGAGTCCGCGCGGTTAGGTACCACCACCCTGCCTATTTCTGCCGTGAAGCAGTAATGCGTTTCGGTTCGAAGGGTGGGGCAGCCGTTATAACTATACTTGAGACCTTAGAAATTATATCTCAAGGTGGGTGGCGCATTTACGTTGTGGACGTCTATGGGCTCCAGTAACCACTTAACATCAGGTGGGCCTTGAGCTCGTCCACCCACCTAAACAATAAAAAAAAAGGAGTAAATAAAAAAAATGTTGAGATATGGAAGCGGCCCATTGGGTATTATAAAATTAGGTGTCCACAAACCTTCAGATGCTTTCAACCTACGCGTCGCAGTTCTTCGCGGCACATCATCCTGGTATCGAAAATACTTTCTTAGGTAATAATTAAGCCACTCGATGAAAATCTCTTTATATCAACACCTGTCTCTACCGATAGGTGTGATTAGTTCCATTGTCAGTCAAAAAACTAAAGCATTGAGCAAGCAAGATATTATAAAATCAATAATTCGTGATCAGCATTACAATATATTTACCGACTCCACAGTTTTCGCTGTTATTCGTAGTCAAGCTGTGTACGCCGTAGCAGTAGGCTACGCGTCCACTGCGCTATGTTTATTGCAATCTGGCGGTTAAATGTCCGTCTGCTTAGCCCTCTATAGCCCTTTTATTCAACCTTAATGCAGTTTTGGAATGGTTTTGAATTTCGATTCGATTATTTAAACTTTTTACGGGATTAATAAATCGCTTTTTATACTTAGGTACAATTTTATATTTTGCTTACTTAATACAAGAAGCACACTTCGAGTTTTTCGTAACGGATATACGAGCAAAAAAAAAAATTGTAAATATTTAATATCGTATATTTATTGACGAGATTTATATACTTCAAGTCTCGTCAATCATCCAGTAGTAACTTTATGATATTAACGATTTCTTTAAGGAATATGAGTTAAGGGATACCTACTTCTCTATTAAAGAATACAAAGGTATTAAATTTGCTTCATTTATCAATTCATTGTTGTAAATATATTAAATAACGAACAAGTAATTATGGTATTTTTAAAAGAATAAAAAAAAAGTACTTACAAACTTATTGTATCTTTCAAAGCCCAGTGAGATTCGGTGGGAGATTTTTGCTAGATGGGTGGACGAGCTCACAGCCCACCTGGTGTTAAGTGGTTACTGGAGCCCATAGACATCTACGACGTAAATGCGCCATCCACTTTGAGATATAAGTTCTAAGGTCTCAAGTATAGTTACAACGGCTGCCCCACCCTTCAAATCGAAACGCATTACCGCTTCACGGCTGAAATAGGCAGGGCGGTGGTACCTACCCGCGCGGACTCACAAGAGGTCCTACCACCAGATTGTGTAAAGCACTGATTTTGCGAAGGTTAGTTTTAGCAAATTCTTTCAGATTGAGCCGTGACTTCACCTACCTCTCTGCACGTAACTGGAATAGTTCCTCGGCCTACCAGCGACTAAGGTAGAAAAAAAAGTCTTTAAATTCTGAATCAAACAAAAACTCAAGCTACATAATTAAGTTAGCTTAAAATTAATTAAACAATTGCGCCAGACCATACAAGAAAGCGATTTCATTATAATGTACTAAAAAAAATTGCATCTATCAGATTAATAACAGAATTAAACTACAGTTAAATTAAACCATAGTTAGTATAATAATTAATTATATTTAACTTGGTTAAAGGGAAACTTATTTAAAAGTAATCGATCGCTATTCATTGGTACACTTTTCAAAACATAACTTTAACGATCAATTAAAATGTTGAACAGATTAGAATTTCCATCAATTTAGTCGTCACTAAAATTATAAAATTAATTTATTCACAGGTTCTTACAGACGTCTGATGGTCATCCGAAAGGGTTGTTGAACTACATCCCTCGGCCCTTGGCCCTTACAAACAATGCGCCCTCTGTGTGCAAGGGCTTAAATAAAAGGTTTGATTTCGTGTTGTAGGGAGCTACAATCAATATTTGAGGACTGGACCGAGATGTTCTGCTTTATTATAATGAACCTTTTGAGGTTGTGTAAAGGAAATTTGAATTTAAGGCTCATCAAATTGAATTGTTTTAGGATTCAATGACGAAATAAATTATTCAGAGTTTGTGTTCCAATACAGGAATTTTCTTTCTTAAATAAGTAATAGATTAAAATATGGAATGATCAAAATTAAAACTTCCTTATTAATGTTTTATGTATATACTATTCCTTATATATGTTATATTTCCTAAATAAATGCTTTGTCCTCAATCTCGAGGTCACAGGTTCAGTTGTACTTTTTCTTTCAACAACCGTATCTATCTATCTAACTATCTTTCAGCCCACAGACGTCAGGACGTCACTAGCCCCAGCAAGAGCAGTTCGCAGACCTACCACCGCATCGAAATAGCGACTCACTAAGAAGATCCGGCGAGAAACTCAATGGGTTGTGTCTATGGAATCAATTTACAAATATGGTATAACGCATGAAAAACGGACAGCATGACTAACAGTACTAAATATAACTAGTAATTAAAATACCTACGTCTAATACTAGATATTTCATTAGTTTTTTATAAAGAGTTATCAAAATGATCATGATACATTTTAACTAGCCTTCACTGTAATAATGACTATTCTAATTTTTGAATTGGACTGTTTTATATATACCTGCGTATATACATTTTAATATTGATATAATATCCAGACAAATATATTGATTCAAACATTGATTCGTCACCTGAATGCTTTCTCGAAGTAGGAATCCAGTCAATTCATTTCAAATTACGAATTGAAGGAATAAACGTTTCAAATTCGTATATTACTTTCTCACATTCGAATTTTGAAACCTGTGTGTTCTAGAATATTCTAGTACTACTTTAATAATGAAGACGTAAAAGGCTGAAGCTAGACTTATCCCGTAAGCAGATTTGAGATACGGGCGTCCCCTCGACACTTAACAAGCTTCGTTAACTCGATCCCAACGCTTCAGTATACTGTGCAAGAATAATGTGGCTATGGAATCCGTAGTATTATAGCGTGCTGTGTGCGAACTTCCCAGAAAACGGTTTTGATAGTTTCGTATGTGAAGGTGACATAAAACGCGTTCTTTTTAAATATACATATTTTATGCAAAAAAAAATAATTTTGTTTTTATTAAATTGGAAATTCATTTTTGATTTTTTTACAAAAAATATTTTAAGAAAAAGAATTTTGATATCAGTGAAATTGGGTGAACACATTTTTATATATTTTGTTCGTTATCATCAAAATCGCTTTATAAAAGTGTCGTTAGTATAAATTAACACCAATATATTAATATGCATTTTAGTGCAGAACAAAACAGCATCGATCTGTGTGCGGTAAGTTATGGGACTCGTTGCCAGAGCGAGTATAGTGGAAGAGCCGCCGCAGCAACGTTGTCTGCGGGTGGTCGCCTGGCTAGCACCATGCGAAGCGACTGCTAAATGCCGCAAGAGTTGTGCTCCATCCCGCTTGCACCGCGGTGCTGGGCGCACTTCTCGCTCGCGCCGGCGCGAACACGTGTTTATTTGTATGTTTTATCCTTCGGCGGCTTTAAACCCAACCCACCCCGACCGCAAAGTGCGCTCCGCCGCCCGCCGCGCCCGCGCCGTCGCCGCCTCTCGCTCGCCGCCACGGCTGCCGCGGAGCGCACCGACTCGCCCGCGAAACTTTGTCCGAAGTCGACGGGCGCGGACGTACGTCGTGTATTAATAGCCACCGCGACCGTCCACCGCAACCGAGGGCGGCCCGCATGCCACGAGTCGCAACACGACTGTGATCCCGGGTGCACGCATCGCACCCCTCGTTCGTAAACACAACGCGCTTCGGGCGCTCCGACGAAAACGACTCTCACTCGGTCGTCGGTTACGAAAAATAAAAAAATGAGACGAGCCGAAAGCGAGAGTAACGTGCGTACGTCCGTCGCGTAAATACGCCGTCCACAAAAAGTTCGGCCGTCAGTGAAACTAGTGAAAAGTTTTTTCGCCGCGAACGGGGCAGCCACCCCCCGACGCCGGAAAAATCGGCCCCTCACCTCGCGTCCCACACCCGCCGTCACCGAACTTTTCATTCACCGGGGAAAAAAGTGTGGCAAGGCCGCCCGTGACGTCACCGCTTTAAGTGGCCACGCGCCCGTTCCCTAGCAACGGGCTGTCATCTCGTCAACCCTCCTTGCGAAACTTATACAAGATAATCCACTTAATGTTTAACTATGACGCGATGATGAAGATGTTACGCGGGGACAGTATCACAGAGCGATGAGTTTCTTTAAAAAGCAGTGTGTGTTGTGATGTAGCAATCGTTTGTAAAAAGTTGACTCTATGTGTAGCACACAGCGCGCACGGGTGTCTAGGATGCACCTGACGGGTGCTAACAGCGGCGCCGTGTCGCCAGACACGAGCTCTACGCTGCTCCACGAAACCTACACTAAGATGACCTCTGATATCCTAGCTGAGAGAACGTTGGGTGATTTTTTATCAGAACACCCTGGCGAACTAGTCAGGACCGGTAGCCCTCACTTCGTCTGTACAGTATTACCGCCGCATTGGCGGTCAAACAAGACTTTGCCTGTGGCGTTCAAGGTGGTGGCGCTAGGAGACATCGGCGACGGCACGCTGGTCACAGTTCGCGCTGGCAACGACGAAAATTGTTGTGCAGAGTTAAGGAACAGTTCGGCAGTGATGAAGAATCAAGTCGCCAAGTTCAATGATTTGAGGTTCGTCGGCCGCAGCGGTCGCGGTGAGTGCTGAAGGTGCAGTTATGTGAATGAATTTTAGATTCTGACATTCTATTATTGAAAATGATAACATTACAGTCTGGAAAATCAATCATGTTACAGTCGATTAATCCTAAAGTGTCATTTATATGTAAAATATATGCGGATTGTGTTAAACCTACTTTCTAGAGCTTTATTATGCTTAAAGACACAAAACATTCTTAGCGCACAACATTTCAAACAGTACTAGGTGTTGTTTACATCCTTAACACCAGAATTTAAATACGAAACATAACTTGTTAAGTAGCGTAGACCCTGACATTGAAAAGTATACAAAACTTTTTCGACGCAGTTAAGAAAGTAAAGTGAATGTCAAATAAGGAGGGCGGGAGATTAGGGCGGCCATTTCCGCCCAATGGCTGTCCCGCCCTGAGAAAGTTTACTTTCTGCAGTTATCAGCGATAAGATTTGTTCGAAGTTAGAGAAAAAGAAAAAAGAAAAAATTTATTAAATTCTACCCACTATTTATTGATTACAATTTTTTTAATTTAATAGTCGTAGTAAGAAGATGAAAATAAAAAAATTGATACAAAGAAAAACAATTTTTTTAAATAAGTTCATCGATATTTTCCGATCTTCTTAATCTTTCCGGTATGCGACGGTAAAAATTAACAACCAGCACAACTATATGTGGTATTAGAATCAGTGAAATACAATAAAAACATATAAAATTTTAATACAAAAACTCATCGGAATATTCGGTATACTATTCCAATGCCGGATGACTAACAATTGAATCTAATCTCGTCAAGATTATTAACACCACATTGCGGCTCATGTTTATAACCTCTACAATTTAGAAGGTAGATTTATACTAATATATTTTTCCTACCTATTCACTGGCAGCCTAAAAAGCTATTTCAGCTACGCCCAAACGGAGGTATAAAGTAATAGCAACTTAAATAAAATATGTTTAATTTATCGTAATTTTACGATGAACTAAAACAGGATAGTCAAGTTTTCATTTTGACAGTGAAACACATTGTCTATTTTATTAGACACTATTTGAATATTATATTAAACAAATTTTTACTCACTTAATTCTTAGTGAATATCTGTGACCTTGCTCGTTCACGAAGCCCGCTATAGAAAGCAGGGTATTAAATACATTTGACATTGGCGAAATCTAAAAGGAAACGCCATAAACCTAAGAGATAGATAGATAAACAAGTTTTTTTAAGACTGTGAACGCCAATCGTTTGCCTTTGAAAATCTGAAAGTAATATCTTTTTTAACATTATCCTACTATAGTTGTCAGAAATATTTTCGTGATGAATTTACCAGATTCAGCTATTCGGCCATTGATGCGTTTTAAACCTTCACCTCAAAACAATACAGACTTAACATTCTAATTGTTTTGTTTTTTATTATTCGAAAAAACGATTAGACTTATGATATTCAAACAGTTTATTTAAGTTAAATGTCCACGATTTAACCCCGTGATAAAAACACAGCGGTTTTTACTTTGCTTAAAGCCTTCTGTCAACAACCCTGCACTACGTTTTCTTTGAATTAGTCAATACGCATTAATAAAACATGAAATTATTTTCTAATAAATTTAAACGAGTAAGATTTCCTTGAGCCAGAAAATAATTTGGATGTTCTTTGTGAGTTATTTTTCATTTATTTAAAAGTTGGCGCATAATTATTTAAATGTGAAAAAAAAATCCCAAAAAAAGAATCTTCTTTGACTACTTTGCAACAACACCAATAAGGTATAAATTTAAATAACATGTGGTAACCGTTCCAAAAAGCTGCATTCGCGGCAAAGACGTCACGGCTGTATGATGTGAGCCCATAGAATTTCCTATGAAGAATAAAGTGATTTATTCATTATTATTTATTTATTTACACTTCATTGTACTACATTGAAGTGATCGTGGCCTAAAGGATAAGACATCCGGTGCGTTCAAATAGAGCGGTGCGACAGTGCCGATGTTCGAATCCCGCAGCCTGATATCAAATTTTGTAATAAAATACTTGCTTCACTCATGTGCTTCACTCAATTCACGATGAAGGAATAACATTGTACAATACAAATCAAACACGCAAAATAATGTTAGCCGCCTAGTTACTGGTGGTAGGGCGTCCTGTGAGCCCGCATGAACTCCCCCACCCTTCCTATATCTAAGCGCAGCAGTATTTTAATCTGATTTGAAAGGTAGAGTAACTGTTGTAACGTATAGAGTACTTAGAATTAGAACTCATGTCCCAAGGTGGACGGCGGCATTACGTTGTTGATGTCTATGGCCTCCGGTAACCACATAACACCACGTAGATCGTGATAAAAAATATATTAATATTTTTAAAATTTTTATTTTTATTTTTTAGTTATTTATTATTAACATAGAAGTATAAACACAATCATAACGTGCATCCGTGCTTGAACTAGGTGTTGAAACTTGTATCTCAAGCAGCAGTGCTCCTTGTACAAAAAAGAGATGAAATAAATAAAAAAACATAAATTAAAAACACTTAAGATGAAGCCGTCGTGGCCTAAAGGATAAGACGTCCGGTGCATTCGTATCTTCCGATGCAACGGTGTTCGAATCTGGCAGGCGAGTACAAATTTTTCTAACGATATACGTACTTAACAAAAGTTCAAGATTGACTTCCACGGTGAAGGAATAACATCGTGTAATAAAAATGAAACCCGCAAAATTATAATTTGCGTGGATAACTATTGGTGGTAGGACGTCTTGTGAGTCCACACGGGTAGGTACCACCACCCTGCCTGTTTTTGCCGTGAAGCTGTAATGCGTTTCGGTTTGAAGAGTGAAGCAGCTTGTACTCTACAAACACAACCTGAGACATTATAACTCGTATATCAAGGTAGGTGGCGGCATTTGCGTTGTAGATGTCTATAGGCTCCGTTAACCGCTTAAGATCATGGGCCTTGAGCTCGTCCACCTAAGCAATAAAAAAAATTAAAAAAACCTGCAAACACCTTATATCAACTCCAAATAAATCTCGTCATAACACGGCACGGTGATTAAAAACTATCAGGTAATTTAAAAAGAGCTCTAATCACAATCCAATGTCCTAGAGAGGACAAAATAATATAAAACCTAAAATAACGAGTAGATTTCATTCCAGTAAGTATATGCAGTCGGCGTCAATGCGCCACTTCGATAAAGCGGCACGACACGAGAACCCTCTCATCGTGGCCGCCGGTAACTACATTCCCGATCCTGCGGACAGAATGGAAAGCAGTCGACGTCGTCCAAAACACGTCATCTCGGATCCTCCCGATCCACTAACGGTGCTTCTAGGTACTTCAAGCACCGGTCACCGTTCTCGTCGAACCCGTCGCTTGCGACGAAGGGCTCGACGAGTAAATTAACTCCCAGACACAGCCCACTGAGTTTCTCGCCGGATCTTCTCAGTGGGTCGCGTTTCCGATCCGGTGGTAGATTCTGCGAAGCACGGCTCTTGCTAGGGTTCGTGTTAGCAACGTCATCAGGTTTGAGCCCCGTGAGCTCACCTACAAAAGTTAGGGTTACGCTGACATAGCCTCTCAAGGCTCTCAGCTTAGGTAGGAAAAAAAAAAAAAAAAAAAAAAGATTTCATTAAATGAAAATGGTTTTTAGTTTCAATTTCACTTGTACTTAAAGTTAGGGGTAGACGAGCATAAAGAGAAAGACAATACGAGTAACTATGACTATCAAATAGTGCAAAGTATAGCATTAATACTACCAAACGCTTAAAGAGAACAATAAATAATACATGGATGGACTTATTTATCTATATTTTATTTCAGTTTTTTTTTTAAACAATTACGTTTTGTTATTAAGAATTACTTAAAATCTATGTTAGTAACTTAAAAATCTAACACATAAATATCATTACATTTTTATTTTGTTCCAAGTGCCTGCTGCAGAGGCTATTAATCAGCAGTCCCTCGATCTTGCTCGATATGATTTTCAAAAGACTGTTGCCACTGTCTCTGATTCGACGCAATAACGGTGCACTTCTCTTCTGCATTATTGCAAAGAAGTCATCGGTGTGAGATGTCGCAAACATTGTGGATGCACTACAAAAGCGCGGCAGTGATAACATCATCCTAAAGGCATTATTATATTGAACACGCAGGACATTGTAAGCTCTCCGCGTATATGTATACCCCGTTGAATCAAAAATTTGTCCGCTACCCACTACTATCACTGTATTTAAGTCATCGTTGCCTAACAATATGAAAGGAGCTATATTTGTATTGATCCATGCGACTATGCCTGAGTTGAAATCATACAAGCAAGCATCATTTATTTCAAAGAAAGCAAATACAAACGTACCAACCTCGCAATCACACGAATGACTTTTAAGATGAAAAAACAAGGTTGGAAAAAAGGTAGGAAACATCCTACTGTTTTCAATACGAACAGGTGCGCGCTCATTTTCCTGCCGCAAATCAGTTTAGTTCCTGTTCAAATAATATGACAAACATATTATATATAATATAATTGAGATTTCAGCCTCAAGTATCAAAGTGAGTAGCCCTATTCACCCGTCTCTATACTTCGGTAGCTACACGTGTAAGTCAATTCACATACTTGTAGTACACTGAATAAAAATTTAATTAAAGCTTCTGTCTACAATAACAGATATCATACGACAAGTATTTAGTTTACGCACAAGTAGGATTTTATCTATTGATTAACAACTGAATTATATATGTGATATATCAATATTGTTTAAATGTACTTGTTAATTAGTAACTGTGTGATATGCATTATTTTTATTACGTAATAAAAACAAATATGATAACAATAAATAATATAATAACAAATATAATATTAATAGATTTTGAGATAACGCTTTGTAAGATTTCAATTATTATAGAATAATTTTTAATGTGTATTTATAATAATATAAATCCTGTTCCGGAAACTTTTCATTCAGCACGTTATAATGTACATATGTATAATATATAATTGATATTATTATTTTATTTTCGTTTTTCGCG